ATCATCCTGCACGAGTAGAGTTCCCGGAAGGAATAACGTTTAAAGTTGTTTGTTGTGTTTTATACATTACCGCCATGAAGGTTAATGTTTAACTGTAATCCTGTATTCTTCCCGGTGCTCTTTTCCAATTCTTTAAGTTATATATTGACTTAAATCACCGACAGAAGATCCTACACAGTACTCTTGGCTTCAACAGGTAACGCAGAAGCCGCTTGGTGGCATAAAGAACAAAACGGAAAAGCGGCAGGCCGACCAGCGGCAGCGCGAATCATTGAAAAGACGCAAATCCTTGCCGCGCCAGTCCGAATCACCCACCATTAGCCCTGAAAAATCCTTGTCCACTCCTGCTTCCCAGGTCCCGATGTCCAACGATGTACCGATGACATCTGGTCCTGCCATACCAACGTCGGTCGCCAGCAAAATCACAGTGACTGGAGACAATATTACTAACGGTTCGCCACCGTCGCAGGAGATTCAAACGGTGCCGCGTTTAGAAACGGTTCAAGTTTAAAAAATCGCGCGCAAGCTCGTCTTCTGACACGCCATCTGCACGCGCATCTGATTGCAACGAACACTCGAGAAGAGTTCGTCGTTCGAATAGTTCGTTTATGTTCCGCAGTTTGAATAGCGAATGTTTCGTGTGTAGTTTAGTTTCCACGTTGTCACGAACAAATTTGAGTCGCGTACAAGTGTAGTTAATTATTGATTAATCCAAGTGTTTATGTTCTGAACACGACGCAGGTCCGAGTCACCGCGGTGAATGGTGCGCGTGCGCAATGATGAATATTCCGATATTTCAATTGTAGTTTATTGATAAAGAAATTCGCATTTTACTTCTGCTTTATTGTAAGTACAACGCTTCCTTGTAGAAAGTTATATTCGGACTTGTATCGAAGAGAAATCTGATATTAAAAATTCATCTAGCATCGATTTGAAAATTTCCGCGGTGTCCCGGGTGATTCGAATTTCAAACGCCATCTTGATAGCACCAATAATCATTTGATTCGAATGTTTTTCAATGTAAACTGTTTGGATATAATTTTAGTAAATGAGATGCGTAATATGTATTAAATAACTTACACAACTAAAGTTTCGAATATCGAGCAACTTGAAGTATTTTTGAAAATTAAGCGAAGTTAAATCGAAGAATTTTAAAATTAGGATGTAACTAAGTAAATTTTACTGAAGAGAAGACGGAAAAATGGAATGATTAGACACGAGTTTCTGTTCCTTATTTTCTCGTTTGTTGTAGCAAAGATGGATAGGTATTGTTAGATTAATGTTGCTTGTTTTTGTATGAAACATATAGATAAGTTTTGTGATAAACATATCTGGTTAATGGTTGGATACGACCCATGTTTCGCGTAGCATTGAGTTAGAAACAGTTAGGTAGGAAAACATGGTATAAGAACACCTACTGTACGCGATTAATAACTTAATTTACTTATTACATTCTGTTCAGAAATATTAAATTTATATTATGCAACCAAATAGTAATTTAATAAAGATACTTTCTTTTGATACAAAAACTTTCAAACTTTTATTTCAGTTTGTCAGGTTTTATTATTTTATGTTTTAAATAATTACAATTTTCACTCTTTAAAATGAATCTTACATGGTAAACCAAAAGTAGACATTAATTTTAATATTCAACATTATTACAATTTTATTTCTAAATTTATGTATATACGTTTATTAAATGATGTCAGAATTCGAAAGTAGCTCTCCAAATAATTTCAGCCATTGAGGGAAATGTAATAACAGAGTTATTGCTGTATCCTTATCTTCAGAATGTATGTCCCTTAATGTTCTTAATGTAGCATGTTTAGATTCATCTGTATGATATATTGGTTCTATTCGTAACAAAATCACTATAGATTGGAACTTTCTTGGATATAAATCTAAAATATCTTTACTTAGATTTTCACAAGACTCCTTCACGCTATGTAAAATTAACTGTATAAAGCTTACGACTATGGGACAATGATCTAAATGTACAAATAATTCTTTTAAAAACGCACATACTAGAAGAAAAATATATGGAGATACACTAATGAATTCAATCAATTGATCCAACAAATTTACACTCTCAATTTCATCACACTTTTCATCTTTATTTAAATTAGTACAAGATGACATAAAATGATATAGCAATGGTTGTTCTATTAATTTGCATCTTTGTGACTTATATATATTCTCTACTGTTGAGAGTTCAAGATTCAAATTGGATTTCTTTTGCACAGCATAACATAATAGTCGTTCACTTTCATCACAGGATTGTTCTGCATTACAAGATAATTCTGCAAGTTTCAGAAGCAGTCTTTCCACATGATACTTATAATATGAATCTACGGATGTTAAGCTGATTAAGGCACTAGACAATGGTAATACATTTTCTGTTGAATCACAAGTATCTAAAAAATCATTTGTTAAATATTTGTCCAACAGAGTTCTAAGAAAAGTAGACGTTTGGTTTCCATCTATAAAAACATTAAAGTTGTTAAAGGCCTCAGTAATCCTACAACAATCTCGCAGTACATCCTAAAACAAATTTATATTGTAATATAATATAAAGACATTGTGTGTAAATTTCTGGTTATAAAAGTACGTACAATTACATTAAATCTTACGGTGTAACGTTGATAAGCTTCCCTTGATACTTTGTAACATAACAAATTTGTGAAAGATAAACATAATGCGTTAAATATATTACTAGATGTTGGTATAAATTTGTCTTCATTGACTAATTTTTGATAGTCCTCTGATTTTTCAAGATCTTTTGTGGCAGTTTCACAACTATTTAATATTGATTTCAAAATTTCGACATCCATATCTTTTTGTTGTTTTTAATCTATTAGTAACGAAATAGAAAATAAAATAAATTCATAATGTAATTAATCATATCGAAATGTAACAGTAGTTAATAACACTGAAACAATTTTAGAATTGAAATAATTTTTGTGTATACTTACTGAGGTTATACTTACACTTGATACAAATATTTTGTTATATTTTCTCTTATTTACGAGTAAAAATTAATTTCATTACTTTATAGTTCAAAAATTATTATAAAACTTATATAATTATTACAAACTTTAATCAATTTTTAATACATATAGCTGTTAAGATTGTCATCCGGTAGCGTGTTGGTAGCATTTCTCGTTTAAAAAAATTTTTTTTTGTGTATGATTGTCATGCCTTGGATATAAAATATTTATTTATATTACGTTACATATTTACATTATGCATTTGTATTATAGAATGTCTTTTTCATATTTGGAAAGTACATGATAATATATAAGAATATAGAAACAAATAGACAGTATATGTTCCTTTTAGACTTCAATTTAATAAATTAAATATTAATTCAGAAATAAATGAATACATATTTCTTATTATTCCATTACATTTGTAATACTTCAATTCTATGACCTACATAAGTATATAGGTAACTTACATCATCAAATATTTTATATAACATACACTATTTAACATGTTCTATTGCATATAATTTAATTTATGTGTTATTGAAAATATTATTTAAATAATAAAATAATGGAACGAACAACAAATAAAAACTACATGTATAATTTGGAACTGCAATCACTACATTATTGGTACAAACGTGCTATACCCCAAAATCCATTAATTAAATATAACAATGTAATGAAGATTATGCAAAATACAATTTACAGTGATGATATTATAGATGTCAATAATCAAGATTTTAAAAAGTAAGGACTTTAAGAGTTAGTTACTTATAAACTAACAATTTCTTTATTTAATGTATATTTTTATTTAAAGGTCACACATTAATTTTCATAACAGAGTAATTTTAAGAACTATCTTTGAACATTGGAAAATGTATGTTATACATAAATTACATTCAAGAAGAGCTGTATACAAAGCAAATTATTTTTATCATAAGAAATTGCAAAGGAAAGTTCTGAATGCATTATGCAAGAATGTATTATTAAAGTGGAAACACATTTTTTCATCAACAAACAACTGCACCAATAAATTAGTAGTTTTTATCAATGATAAGAAAGCTGAAGTACATTGTAATAGAGTATTATTAAAAAGATATTTCACATATTGGTATAAATTGATGACAACTGAATTTAAAGCATCTTCATTATTACAAAAGGCTATTGCATTTTATGATTTACATTGTTTAAAGAAGTGCATGAAATATTGGATAGTTTATATAAAATATCAAAAGCAAAAGAAACTTATGCAAGACAAAATAGATGAGGTAGCACTAACATTAACAATTATTACTTGTATTTTTTAATTAATAAAGTAATTTATACCTTAGGCACGTAATTTTTACACAAAAAAGATTTTGCAAAGATGCATAGAAGCTTGGTTACGCAACTCTGAATTTACTTTTCAAAAACCAAAAATAGAAAATGCAGTTTTACACTATGAAAACAAATTATTGAAAAAATATTTCTCTGTTTGGAAAACATACTATAATTCAAAAATACAGAAATTAATTATAAATGCACGCGTTCAAGAGTATTATAAAAAGAAATTAATGAAACAGTATTTTGAACAGTTTATTATGGTATTGTATTTATGAAATTAATTTATGCAGAATATTTATATTATATTTTACTAAGTTGTATTTATGTTTATAATAGCACATAAAGGAGTCTGTTATTAGCAAAATAGCTCAACAAAAAGCCGAAATGTTTTACAATATGAAATGTATGCAAAAAGGATTTTTTGCATGGCAAAAATGGTACTATGAAAAACTGCAAAGAACAGAAAGAATGAATGCAATCAAAAGTATATTTGAAAATCAGAGAAAACGCTCAACATTTGATAACTGGTGCTTATATATACACGATAAAAAATGCAGAAGAAGAAAGACGTTTTCATCACACAATTTCTATAAAAAAAAATTGTTGTCTAGGGCTCTAAAAAGTCTTTATAATTATACTATTTATAGAAAAGAAAAGCAACTGAAATTATCTTATTTGAATGAAAAAAGTATGATGATTACTTATTATTTGCAGAATATTTATATAAAAAAATGGATAAGATCGCTTTATATTGCAATACAAGAAAAACGAAAATTACATGAAGCCATTGAATTTTGGCAAACAAATTTATTTCGTAAATACTTTTTTTACTGGAAAAAGTTTTCTGAAAAACATAAAACAAAAAACATTTATAAAAACGAATTAAATAAACTTGCTTCTGACTTTTTATTAAAAAAATATATTGTACATTGGCGTGACAAATTACAAAATACCCTTGAAATGAAGAAGAAAGAAATGTTTATAAAATCTATAATAAATCAAAGAATTTTAAGAAAATATTTGTCTTTTTGGAAACAGTACATTCTTCAAAAAGCTGCAAAGAGAAACAATATTGAAGCAGCCAAAGAAATGTACAAAAAATTTCTGTTACGAGATGGATTGAAAAAGGTTGTAAAATATACTCTTCATAATATTGAGCAGAAACACTGCTTGCAACTAGAAAATGCAGCAATTAGGTCTTTTAAAAATTTTGAAGTTTTAAAAGAGTATTTCGATAAGTGGCAATCTATAATTTATTTAAAAAACAAATCAAAATCATTGCACAAAGTTATAAGCAACACAGATTTCCAGTTGCCGTATTCTGATACTTCATGTAACATACATTGTGGCATTAAAAACATAGGTTTAGTTTTGCCAGAATACATGAAGGAAGAAGATACAATTTCTATCATTCCTGATTGTGTCATGTTTCCTCTAGAAAATCGTTCTTTCAATTTCTTTCAGTCACATTAAAACAAACGCAAGGATACGTAGTGCCTGATCTTAAGTAAATTTATATAAAATGCTTTATTATAATTACATCATTTATGTACACATTATTGTCTTAAATGATATCAGTCTGATACAACTGTTGTAGTGTTTTAAAAGTAGATGAAAAAGGTCAAGATATTTTTATGTATAATATTTAATTTCAAAAACATTTTAAGTATGCAGATTACAATACTCATGAATCTAATATCGCTAATATAGCGATGATGACGATTTCCATTATATCTGACGTTCCAATTTGTGTAAGATCAGTAATTGTCAGCATCGAATTTTGTTAATTTTATTTTTTTCTTTTCAGCTTTTTTAGTTCACCTTGTTGCGTAGCGGCTTCGCCAAAAATTTCCTTCACTTTACGTTTACGTTCTTCATCACTCTTAATTTGTTGCTTGATTTGTAATTTCGCTATGAAAGCTTTATCCCTTCGTATTTCACGAACAGCACCCTTCATTTCTTTCTTATATTTATGCAATAATTTTTCTCTCTCTGCTTTCTCCTTAGACATAGACTTATGCTTTTTACCATCATACACAGCTTCAATTTGAGGTTCATACAGCCTGAGTGGTTTTGGTTTTTTCTTTGGAACCACTAAATATTCTAATTTCTTATTCCTCAATCCCTTCAATTCTTTTCGGAATTGTTTAATGTGCTTTTTCACATTTAATGGATACTTATCGAACACATTTGCTTTAAGCAATTTAAAAATTGGTTCAAAAATTGAATATACAGCTTCTAATTCCTCTAAATGATTCTTGAATTCTCGCAATAGATTAACAGCTGTTAATAGAGTTCTTATTTTAAATTCATCATCCAGGTCTCCATCTATCAAGTCTTCTACTTTCATGAGTGCATTACTGGGTTCAATATCTAGATTAGTTTGATCATCATCAAGCACCAACAAATTACTTAATTCTCCGTTTGTTTTAAAGGGTGGTATCATTTTCTTTCCTTGAATTAAGTGCTTTGGTGTGGCTAAATAAATTATTCCTCGCAAGTAATTTATTACCGCCGGTGAGAAACGTTTGCTTAACACAGTGTACTGTAAATATAATTTATGTATACTCATCAAAATATAGTACTAAACTAAAATTAAAATGATTTATACCTCTAAAATAAGTGTACATATAAATACTCCTCTTGCTATGTCTACTTTATTTCTCACACGACACCTAAGTAAAATTTGGGACATAAATATCAAGCAAGGTGTAACAACACAGTGTCTAAAATCAGATGTTGGAAATATCAAAGAAACTAATTTAAAAAAAATAAGCTGCAACAAAAATACATATATTAAATCCAATATGGTTTAATGAAAATCATTTCTTATAATTGTATGTTGAACATACAGTGTCCAGGAATGGATATTTCTTCTTATTTTTCTCATACGTTTCATGCTTCTCTTTAATTATTTCTTGTATAGCAGTTTTAGCATTTTCTGAATTCATATGTGCTAAATCATATATAAAAGGACACAACCTAAACAAAAGTATGTATAATGAAACATAAGTTACAGAAATAGTTGATTATTCTTATCATTAGTGTTGTTGTTATTATTATTACTATTCTTATTATTTATAAATTACATGTTACCTGTCAAAAATATTAAAGAAGTTAATTATGCTTTTAGCATCATCTTCTACAGCATAATCATTTATATGCTGTAATAAATATAAAAACAAATTTGATAATTTTTCTTTATTTTTGCCATCTAATGTCCAGTGATTACACTTTATGATACGATCAATAATAACTGATTGGTATTCAGCATTATGATTTTCTAACAAACTTTGCAATTCTTCGTAACTATCTGGTGCTTTATAGGTGTAAGGCAATTCTTGTCTTGCTTTCTCCATAATTTCTTTTCTTTTTAACAAATCATCTCTAATTTCTTGTTTTCTGTTTTTATCCTCTGTATCTGGAATGCTTGCATCAGTTTTTGATTTTAATATTGACTTCTTTTTTGTAACATCCAAGTTTTCTTTTTCTTTTGAAACACTTTCATTATTTTTTGCAAATCTAACATTCTTCTTTTTGCATTGTACAGTTTCATCTTCACTAGAAGATTCTGAAGCTTTTAAGTCTGATAAATCATCCTCTTCAGAACTTTCAACATTTGAGAATTCTGCGTCAGAATTTTTGTTAGATTCATTGTCAACATTATTGTCTCCTTTTTTCTTTCTTTTAATAACACCATTTGTTTCAACAGTATTTAACTGTATATTCTCGTTCTGATCATCATTAGGTTCTTTGGTAATATCAGAAAGCGCATTATCAGAGTCACCATCGTCATCTTCATTGTCCGAGTCCTCTTCTGTATTTTTAATTGAAATATCCTTTTCATCATCTTGATCTTCGTCATTTATAGTTTCCATTACAAAACCGTCATCAAGATCATCTGCAGATTTATGCCTAATTTCATTGTTTGCATCATTTACAAATCCTTTCATTCTTGCTAATCGATCTGCTTCAAGGGCTTCCAATTTTTCTTTCTCCTCTTTTACAATTTCTTCTTCAGATTTTAATTTATCAGTTGGCATACCTCGAGCTTCAAATTTCAATTCACGGACAGCAATGTCATAATCATCAGCTTTAGATTTGTTAGCAACTTCTACCGATTTATTAGTTGCAGTTATAATTGGAAGGAGATCTCTCCATTCTGAATCAAGTTTTTCTGTTAAATCTATTGTTTGTTCACGTATTTTTTGTTTCTCAGCTTTACGCCTCTTTGATTCAGCTATAAGCTCCTCAATGAGATCTTTTCTAGACTTTGGAGTTTCTGATTTTGATAGAACACCTCCACCAAAGTGAGCCTCCCCAACAAATTTATCATCTAAATTTCCTGTCCTGTTCTCATCATCACTAAACTCATCGTCACTTTTTGGATTTTCAAACTTCTCAATTTCTTCTAGAGTTTGACCTTTATGTGTCAATACTTCTTCGTCATTTAAACTATAAATATTTTTCTTCTTATGAGCTTTCATTCGTTCGGCAGCAAATCTAGCAAGAGCTCTATCTTCTACACTCATAGCAACATTCTTTTCACCTATACGTTTATCTAAGAATATATTATCTTTGTTTTTGAATTTATATTCTTGAAGAAGCGTTCCTTTGCGTTTCTTAATTGCTTTTGCACGAGATATGCCTGGCAATCCTTTGTCTGTTTTGTTTTTTCTTCCCAAAACATTTTGTTTATCTCTATTTATGTGCACCTCAAAAGGATTTAATTTTTTTTTATTTTGCTGACCTTGTTTCTTTTGAGAAAGCTCTGATAAAAATTTCTTTTTTGCTTTAGCCATTATTCATTACCTTTATGTCCACATGAAGCATGTATAAATGTTTTTTCTGAAATAAATAACTTCATTTCTAGATTACTTGATTAATTAACATATTAGCTACAGAATATACAGAGATCACGTATCACTGATCATTTACATAGAATATTACAAAATTATTTTCTTTACCTATAATACTATTAATTTAAATATAATTATAAAATAAGTTTCTAAAATTTATAACCTCTTTTCAAAAGCATGTATTAAATTCCATTTTAAACATTAATTTCTAAACGTATAATATAACATTCTTATGTCCTTAAAGATTCTAATGAACCAATATGAGTAAAAATATTGAAATTAATATTTCATTTATATAAACATTTATTAAGCATGTATCAAACGTTTCCTGCTGTCCACGTGTATTTGACTTTACTACCACCACCACCACCACGACTGTCAACAATTTAGTGGCGCAACCTAGCGTAGACAATCCAGTCTAGAAGTTTGAGCGTTCTCGCAACAGGTGGCGCCACCAATCATGGAGAAGGAAAAACGAAGATACGTATATAGGGGTGGGAAGAACAAAGATACTGTTGTGATACTAAAGCTATCGTAATGGGGTTTCTCCAGGGGGGTTTGAGGTCTTGCAGCGAGTGGACGTATGCCCTTTTCCTCAATCCGAATAGCTGTGGGTGCGAGTTCTAAATGGGAAGCGACAAACTATACGTATCTTAACCCCTTGACCTATCGTGTGTCAGACTCTTAACGAAAATTTGAAACTGAATTTGACAAATCTAAGTGTCATTTATTGTTTTTAAATGTAAATTAAATATTAACCTTCTATTATTAATCGTTACCATTTGAAGTAAGTGTCGACATAGAATAAGCATCAGAATTTTTTCTTTCCCTAATAAATTATTAATAATAAAGTAGTATCCATCATAGTTATGAAATAAGTCACAGGGCAAGGGGTAACGCCATTCTAGAATTTTGGAAAAAACGATTTGTTTTGCTTAAATGATGCTTTATTATGTGAAGAATGTAACTATAATTGAAAATCTTTGATTTTTTCTTCTAAGACCAACCGTTATATAAAAATCTTTCCGGCCATGCAGCTCTCCGAAATAAAGGTGTTGTTGTTTACCAGCACCTATAGCCGTCATTTTGGATCCAAAATGTTTAAAAAAATTCACAAACCTTCCTGAAAATATATGCAATAAAACTTTTTTGTTCTTGATTCTATACCTTGTATGGCTTTAATTTGAAAAATTTCCGAAGATCATCTTATTCTCCGACCTCTAGAGTGGCGTTACCTCTTATAAGTCTGTGACTTATGACTACAAGTTTAATTTTTTCGCCACTGATGTCGCCACTTATCCTATAAACTATATTTACTAGCTGATGTTTAAAAAGAAGTACATACCAACAGAATGTAGAGCAATTGCTCAAATAAATTATTGGCACGTTGACTGCCACGAGAATTTCGAGCGTGTTGTTATAGTAGGATTTTATAATAGAGGAAAATAGTATTAAACATAATTATCAATTTTTGGTATTACAGTATTAATATTACACTATTGTCTAGCTTCTCGTGTTACTAAATATTTTGATTCAATATCAACTTTCTTATTGTAATTGAATTATATTTCTCAATGTAATTAATAAATTAAATTCAACCCTCTATGGGCCAAATTTTGTTTGGTGATTATAACGAAATTTATGCAGTATGAAATTAATAAATATCAACATATGAACACAAATTAACAACGTATTCAATAGTTTTAATAATTTTATTAAAACGAATATATTTTGCAACTTTGAAGTTACAATGACGTTGAACGTAAACGCATGTCTATACAAAAGTTTGAGTTGATTAATTATTTAATGTCATTCGTTATTTTGCAATAAAAAATTTAATAAATCAATTTAACCCAGTGTATTGGTGTTACTTCAAAGTGACATGGGCCCATAGAGGGTTAAATAAATGATCTTTTACTAACCATGGAGTATTTAATTAGAGCCTAAACTCTTTACTTTTGTTATCGATTCGAAATTTAATTACAGGGTGAACGCAAGGAATTACTTAAGCATCATTGAATGCGAATAATCAGGGAACATCGACGAGTAAACAAAATGCATTGCTTGTCTGTATAAAATACCAATACTTTATTTTTCAATCGACTGTGCGTCGCACCACGCACGGGGGATATGTACAAAGTCGTCGCGTTGTGTTGCAACCGCGTCGGTGCAACCTCGAAAACGCCTACCGATTAAAAAGTTATTTTACGTGCTAGGTTTAAAAAGTAACGCATAAGTGTTGTTTGCTTCTTTCGTCGTTTTTCTATATTTTCTTCTATCTCTCTCTCTCTCTCTCTCTCTTTTCTTTTTTTCTACCCTCGTTTTGTCCCTTTCTCTATCGTTTTCTTTCTTCTTTTGCTTGCTCCTTTACGGCGACTGGTTAAAAACTATACAAACATGCTGTTCCGAGCGGTGTATAATATGCGGTGCCTGAGGTATATCAGTGGTATTACTATTGCGTTGCTTCGGAAATCGGGAAAACAACTGATACAACAAATATACATAGTAACGTACAAAAAAAAAGAAAAACGATGCGAGCGCTTGTTCATCGTATCTGGCAGTGAATCGGCTTTACAGTTTCGTTGTTCCGCGGCTAACACCTCACGGTAACGGTGTACATTTAGATTTAATCTTGCAATTAACACCTTCGATATCGTTTACATTATTTGTATCCACGTGGCATTACCAATAACATTTGTCGCACAACATTCTCTCGATAAAAGCTCATTATACCCTGGGCAAGGTGATCTAATAGAAGACACGTTTCTGATGAACCGTTATAGAAAATTCAAACTTAAGGGAAATGCGACTACTTAACGTATTATACAATTCGAGCTTGTATCGAGGGAATATTGCATCTCTCGAACTGTGAAAACTACCGCAAACGTGTGCCACCGAATATGTTCAACCCTTTCAATGCAGAATCCTCACCATCGGCTGCGAATACTACCTTCCACTAAACAAAAATATTTCCTCTCGTAACAAAATCAAGTTCTAACTGTAACGATTCGTTCAATAACGCTGATGAACTAAAAAAAATGCTGTGCTCAGATTCGTAGCATTGAAAGAGTCAGTAATACGAACACCACGCAACGCCACTGCGCTGTCCGCCATTTTGTGAAGCGTTCGTCCGGTATCACAAAATGGCGAACAACGACGTATGACTTCTGCAACGCTGGTTGCGTCTCGATCACGCTTCGCTAAATGAACGATTGATACGGAGGAAAACAAATTGGCATTTCGGCTCGATGAGAAATTAAATGAATTCAAAGGCGAAGAGAAGCGCAATCGCACCGCGTGTCGCTCGAACAATAAAAGGCTTAATGGCTCGCATCGAACGAGGAAAAACTATTGAAGTGCCGGATGACGAGCTCCCGGACAAACGAAGAGAACTCGCTGTGATGCTGATTACAATTGTTTTTTCGGCCGGTGAAAGGAAGGAAAGGGTGACGCAAGCTCATCGTGTCCTTACAAAGCTAAAACAGGGCGCGGAAGCGACGGGGTTGCGCAATCAGAACTGGAGTGATTTTTGAAAGTGGTTTCGAGAATTTCGGATGTTTAATGTTTGAAATTTGCTTCGCAAGTTCAAACAGTATTGGATAAATTGTTTTTCCCCTTTACTTTGATGGTAGCCTGATTTTTCTAATTGGATTTCGTAGGAACGTTGAGACTGACGTAAATAAATTAAAGCGTTACACAAGAATCAAAGGCCGTGAAATTAGTATAAACAAATTGGAAATTCTTCTGAAGATATGCTAATATCAACGAATTGAGAATACTGAAAAGAAATCGAAAACGTGAGCGAACTAAAACTCTGCAGAACTAAACGCAATATTATAGACAATCGAGTTCGAATTAATATAAACATTGGTCCCTGGCAAATAGTCAAATAAATAAATTGCAATTAAAATAAACGGATATATAGCTCGCAATTGATGCAAACGAATTATAACGTAATATGAACGAATTCAGAGGCTCAATGTTTAAGTAAATTAATCGAGTAACTTTGACCTTAAGGATGGTTAATACGAATAAATATATGCGTGTAGAAAATTAACGCAAAACTAATTACAATTGATTAGAAATAATTAGCAGGCCTTCAATCCGATTAATAAAGTTCCCTATTTGGCAATGAACTTCTCTCACGCATCTCCAAGAACGGGTTCTTGAAAAACGAAAACAGTCTCCATCAAAGTTCACCAAATAACGTGAACATAAAACATCATCGAACTTAACTAAATATTATCAAAATTCGCAATAAACATCATTAAGAGAAAACTAAAGAGAAACGTCATTACATTGTAAAATCCCATCCAATATGATTGAAACGTTCCCAAAGGTCGCTAATCGTTATCAAACATCTCTAAACATCATCATCTAGAATCCAGTTCAATCGAACATCATCTAAAATCATTCTGAACGTAACCAGACGTTAAAAAAATTCGAATCAAACGTCACCAAACGTCATTACACCTCGTCGAACATCTCTAATCGTGATCGAACTCGACGAGACAGTCGCTGCCGGTGACAATATTTCACAAAAAACATTTTCCCAAACGTCGTAGGAACTTATCCAATACGCTCAAACGTCATTCAAACATCGTCGAAGCTTGTCAAACATCATCAAACGTCATCCGATCTTTTTCTTCCGATCAAAAGCCGTCGAGAAACCCGCTTCTGGACGCGCACGTTCCCTGTCCCCTCGTTCGCGCCCCGCTTTTCCAAGGTACATAATATACAGTGTAAAATAGGTGCGTGCACAAAACGCGTTTACAGTACGCATGCACTAGTAGTAGTACAAGTAAGAAAATGGTCAGCCGTGCGTTGCCCGGCCGGGGGGATGGGGGGGATGATACCGTTTATATTACTCGATCTCTACGTTGTACTAAGATTTGGTTACTGAAGAGTATGTTTTACTAACTAGTTTCGCTTTTTGTGGCACTGGGCTATCTCCCATTTTATGTTTCCCCTTTTTATCGTTTCGTTAGTTCGGAATGCGAAATACGAGCGCGGCCCGGGGATCGCGACCCTCCTGGCGCGATTCTTTCTGCTCCGACGCGAAAGACGAGGAGGGTCGCGGCCTCCTAATCCCGCACTCCATCCTATCCTTCTCAGTTAACTCTACACTCGACGTTTCTTTAAGTACTAACAGTTAATATTTTTTCTCATTCTCTCGTCTCCCACGCTTCTTTCGTTCCTTTTCTCCTCTTTATAATCTTTTTGGATGATCGTACACCTCGATCCTTTCAGGACGCGTTTAGCCTACCCGGTCAAGCCTCGACCACCGTCGCTCGAACGTCTCGGTTATACTACTCGACAACTGAAGCTACTTCAGTCTTATATTCCTCTTTTACCTTCTTTGCCTGGTCGAAGTACATGTTTCTACGGTTACGATTAATTAGCGGTTTAAGTATAAACGTGCGGATTATAAAAAACAGTTAATAGTAATGTATTGCGTATGATGAAGTACAGTTAGTCGACGGCGCTCGAGGCTTGACCGGTTCTGGCCGTCGGATCCGTGTGTTCACAAATTTTTGGTGTGCATTTTGGAAATTCGACATTCGCGCGTGAACCTCCCTCGCTGGTGAAGCTTCGATTCGTTTTTAGCGACTAAAGTTCTTAACTCTAAGTGATATATCTTATGATTTTGGTTATTTACAGGATATTCGCCGTTCCGTTTATCTTTCCCGCTTCGAGTTCAATAACGAACACTTATTCCAACGTTTTTGTGCATTTTCGGAGTCACAAGAAAATATAAACCGAAACTTTTTCAACTTTGAACACCTCAGCGATCCGAAAGTTCAATCTCAACCGAGGGAAATTAGTCATTGTTTCTAAGAATGAAAGCTTCGCGAAAAAGGTTCACCAATAGACACATCGTCAACCCGTGGTACCAAAATAGCCGAATACGTCCATCATTACGCTCCCCTGCATCCTCTATCGCTTCCTCCTTGCTTCCGTCGACTCGCCACGTTACGTGTCGCTCTATCTTACACGGACTACGCGTTAACTCTTAATCGTACGCCTCGTATAGCTTACCTACATATGTACAGCCGCGATACAAGAAGACTGGCAGCGCGGAAGGTCGATTTCGAGTTATTAAATCTAACTATTTATTGAATCATTGGTCACTATTAGAGACAAGAAACAAACCGTGGTGACCGATCAAAATTCTTAACACGTTGGATGCCATGGGGGTCACCGGTGACCTCAACCAAATCGAATTACTATAATTCATTCGATTAAACTATGATTATTTAAGAACTTTTCTATATTACAAGTAATACCACCAAATGCAATGACATTCTACAAGATAAACCTGCAATAACAATAACGTAATTCAATTACATAAGTTGATACTACATTATTTTCATTTTGTATATTTTTCTCGACAAAATCGTGCGGCACTCAATGTGTTCAAATAAATCATTTTAGAATACTTAAACAGCTTGTCTATGTGTCAATGACAAATGGTCGAGCAATAGAACAAGCTTGACACTAATAACTTCAATAATCAAATCACCTGGGTGTCGTTCATTAAACCTGTCAGTCTAACTTATCCATCAGTTGGGTTAATTCTTCATCCCCTTCACAGTGAAATGAAATATTGATAAACAATGAGCCTTCAATTTAAATAAACTCTATCATCGACATTAAAATTTGTGATTTCATCGCAGCCAAAGGGTTAAATAAAGTTTTAATGTACAACTATACTCGAATCTCTTCAAAATTATGCAATTCTACGTTAAGCGACACTTTTGCATCCAATAATGTCACGTTACTCGAATTAAACTGAGAGACAGTTGTGTAAACTCAAAATCGAAGTCCCATGTAAAGGAACGAACTGAGACACAATTTATCCAACGAAATCCATCGGAACCGACCTTCCACGCCTCGTCTTCCATGTTTTCCATACAAGTTTATACACGCGCGAGTATTCACACATACAGATTCAAACGCATATACTGAAACATACATACATACAAATACCGCGGTTAGGGAAGGGGGCTGGCGCGGCCGACCTTAGGAACCGACTGGAATAAGCGATGGACCGCGCGTTACTGCCCCACGACGA